GCCTCTGTTTCTCCCTCTCTCTCTCTCTCTCTCTCTCTCTCTCTCTCTCTCTCTCTCTCTCTCTCTCTCTCTCTCTCTCTCTCTCTCTCTCTGAAGGGTTGGTTGTGAGGGCTCGTCTTTCACAAGAGGCGTTGCTCTCTTCGGCCGTGGCGCTTCTCTGCAAGCAAAAACAGAAATTTCCGCTTCCTGCAACGATAAACAACTAGCGCAACTTGAGAAACATTCGCCGCGACTCTGACGGTGAACGGCGGGTTGAAGCGCGCGTCGCGATCGGTCCTCGGGGACGGATGAATGTGCTGCAGTAGAGGCTCGGCGCTCCGACAAACAGCCGTTTTATTCGGGTTTTCCTTCATTGTTTTCAAACATAAGGTTCCTCCAGCATGTCGGAGCGGGGAGGGCTCCCGAGGACTGGAGGCGTGCCGTCTCCGCAGCCCTCCAAACCGGTGGCGATCACCTCCAATCGGCCGGTGCACATGAACCTGTACGCCACCTGGGAAGTGGACCGATCGTCGCCGAGCTGCGTGCCGAGGTAAGGCGCCTGTCCGCCGGGGAGGAAGCAGCGGTGCACCGCCGGATAATGCTCGAGGTTTCCTTGACATTTATCCACTTAAAGGACAACACACTGAGTTAAAGCTGGAGGGAATACGATAGTCAATACAGCTCAGATGTAATCAAAGGAATAAAATTAGCCTGGACAGATTTCGGCACTATATGTGTCGCGGTTTGCAGCGAAAGCGATATGAACAATGATCGGTGGTTGAATCTGAACACGGCGCTCCGACAAACAGCCGTTTTATTCGGGTTTTCCTTCATTGTTTTCAAACATAAGGTTCCTCCAGCATGTCGGAGCGGGGAGGGCTCCCGAGGACTGGAGGCGTGCCGTCTCCGCAGCCCTCCAAACCGGTGGCGATCACCTCCAATCGGCCGGTGCACATGAACCTGTACGCCACCTGGGAAGTGGACCGATCGTCGCCGAGCTGCGTGCCGAGGTAAGGCGCCTGTCCGCCGGGGAGGAAGCAGCGGTGCACCGCCGGATAATGCTCGAGGTTTCCTTGACATTTATCCACTTAAAGGACAACACACTGAGTTAAAGCTGGAGGGAATACGATAGTCAATACAGCTCAGATGTAATCAAAGGAATAAAATTAGCCTGGACAGATTTCGGCACTATATGTGTCGCGGTTTGCAGCGAAAGCTCGGTGGTTGAATCTGAACACGACAGTGCGGTAAAGACAACCAGAGCAACTTCTTCTTAACAAAGAGCTGCAGGTGAAATGTTCAGACATGCAGGGCTTCATGTATTGTATTGCAGCCTGTCAGTGGTCAGGAATATTTGTCAGGAATGCTGGCACAGGAACTGTTGTTCTGCTTTTCTGGAAAATATCAGACTAATGGATAGCGATTTACCGATATCGGGTTTTTAATGACCTGCACTGATAGATATTATTAAACTGCAAAAAATGATTTTCTTCCTTAGAATGTTTGTCTGGTTTTCTAGTATAAATATCTGAAAATTATTGAATCAGGATGCATTTATTTGACAAGTAAAATGACTTAAGATATTATGTCTTGTTTTCTGAAAAAAATTCAAAATTTGGTTAGTTTATGCTTAAAAGAAGCAAAAATTTTTTTTGCAGTGTATTAGTTGTATTATTAGTAACAGCAATAATAATAATTACTGTTGTTGTTATTATTAGTAGTATTATTTTCCCCAAATTATGCTTTTTTTTGGCAGACCCAATATTGATAAACCATAAAGAACTGCATAAGATCATTGTGAATATTGGGAAAAAATTTCCCCCTGATGTGGAAATAATCCTAGTGTCTTATTCATGCATTGTATTCCATCCTGGGAATTGTCTAAAATAAATGTTTGAAATGCTGGATTTTTGGGAATAGACTGATGTAATGCTGGTTTAGTGTGTCAGGGTTTCATGCATATTCTAAATTGGAAATGAAATGGAATTTTATGGTCTGGAATTGGTTTGGGATGCTGCTGTGGTAACTGTTGAGCTTCGTGTTTTGAATTCCCATCTGCTGTTCTGGAAAACATTGAAGTATATTATATATTGGAGTATACCGATATAGAAGTATTATCCACAAAATATTTAATTTATCGGTAGACCCAATATTGACAAATAAGAACGGATAAAGTTGGATGTAAATATAAGGAAAAATATCTCTGCTTATTTAAAGAGGTTATCCCATTCATGCATTGCATCCTGGACATAGTAAGAAACGTATACTTGCAGTGTTACATTGTTGGGAATATATCGGTGTAATACGACCTTAGAAATGCTGGTTTAACATGTGTAAAAATCCATGCATTGTATTCTAGATTGGGATTGGTGTGATATTGGTTTGGGATGCTGCCATTGGTAATTGTAGAGTTTGATGTGTTGTATTACAAACTGATGTTCTGGAAAATTTGGGAGTAAAGGAAATGACTGATATAAATTTTTTTTTGACCCATATTGAAACATTTTTATGTTTTATTGTATTGTTATTACTCCCCAAATTGGTCGCTTATTGGTAGATCCAATATTAGACAACGATAATTGCCATTGTAGTGAATATAATATTGTTGGATTGCTGGACGTTATGAGTATACTGGTGTAATAGATCCTAGAAATGCTGGTTAAGTAGGCCTAACTGCTGGGATTCATATGTTGTATTACCGGGAACAGTCTTGTATATATTGGCTTGGGATGCTGCCATGGTAACTGAGGAGCTTCATGCTTTGAATTCCAACCTGGTGGTCTGGAATATGTTGCAGTCGTCTGGTAGTCCTAGATATGCCGCTTTAGAATGTGTGGAGATTCATGCATTGTGTTCTAAATTGGGAATGGTATGGAATTGGTTTGGGATGCTGCCATGGTAACTAGGGTTTCAGGCTTTGTATTCCAGCCTGCCACCAGCATTGCATTACCCTGCATTTGTGATCAGGTGAACATGTATGTGTCAATAATGATCTTTCTTCTTGAAAGCCAATACTCCCTGCTGCCTGTTGTTTTCGCTTGCAGTTAATATCGGCTACGGATACAGACAGCACAGACATGTGAAATGGCTGCCCATCGAAGCTAATTGGTTTATTTGTATTAAATGTGTATTGATGGAGCAATTGGGATAGATCTGGGTTACACAGCATGTGCTTGTGTTTTGCGTGGCATCACGCTGCTGGTATTGACTAGGGTTGGGTACCGTTCACATTTTAACCAGTACTTGAATTTCGGTGCCGGTACTCAAAGGTACCTTTTTTCGGTACTTTACTCGGTGTGTAATTACAAAAAAATATTTATTTCAGTGAAAAGATAAGTCCAAAAGTCTCAATTTCAACATTTTGAACAACAGGGTCCATTCATACATACAGAGGCAAGCAGAACATGCAGGATTCATATTTAAACCGCCTTTTTGCATTTTAATATCCACAGACACTAGTTCATATAGCGATTCAAATTAAGTGGCAGTGGCTACTTTTGATTTATTCGTCCAAACTTGACGAATTCCGTGGCATTCCACGCTATAGAGTAAATTACATTTATATGAATGGACTCCACAATCCCGTCCACGTTTACGCAGAAACAATATGGCCCTAGAAATGTAACCACACTTCACAACATTTCGGCTTGCCCTGTGTGATTGAACGAGATGCAGGGGTGACATCACGTCACAGGTAGGGATGCACCGAAATGAAAATTCTAGGCCGAAGCCGAACAAAATGAAACACTGGGCTGAATACTGAACACGGTTTTTCACATTTCCCCCTCATGTAGGCCTATTTTGCCATTTTTTTTCACAATTGCATTAATTAAATTGCCAAAATGTGCTTTTTACTGTTTTGTCCTGCTTTTCAAATAAAAAATCAATTACAAAACAACAATTAAAAAATATTTACTTAACACTGAACATTTTTTTTAACATTCTAGCAGACATTATACCAACAAAGCACAATTTAGCTTAAAATTTATTTGGTTAAGTTAGTAAAATAATATTTTTAAGACTTGAATCAGGCATGTATTTTTTACTGTACAAATAAAGGGAGCCTTGCTGAGCAGAAGAGACTTCTTTTAAAACATTAGAATATATTACAGATCCCAATTTGAAGACTATGTGTGAATGATATAAAACATCTATTAAAGGGGTCATATGATGCGATTTCAAGTTTTCCTTTCTCTTTGGAGTGTTACAAGCTGATTGTGCATAGATAAGATCCCTGAAGTTACAAAGACTAAAGTCTCAAAACCAAAGAGATATTCTTTATCAAAGTTAAGACTCTGCCACGCCCCCCTAAAACGGCTCGTTCTAACACGCCCCCACATATCTACCTCACTATGTGGAAATATTAGCATAATGCCGCCCAAATGTGCACGCAAAGAGAGAAGGCGTGGTTTCAGTAACCGCAGTTAGTGTTGAAGCAGCATGTCAGGGAGACGCTGTGTGTTTCTAGACGAAAGCAAAAGCACTTTATTTGGCCTTCCAGAAGTAGATGCATTTAGGAATCTTTAAGATCACTTACAACAGAACAGCAATGCATTTGACCGTTTCGTGAACCTAGGAGAGGAGGTAATTCTGACTTTGCTCTGACAATCTGGCGCTTCTGAATCAGCTACTGTTTTGTTATTAGTTTAAGTATTGACTGTTCAAATGCAAAGTTTTGCGCATCGTGTGTGTGCGTGTGAGAGAGAGAGAGACCGTCACATCAAAGTGCAGTCAGCTGTCTTAACCGTGGCTTGTGTACTGCAAACACATACCAGCTTCTTCACTGTGTCTGTCACGCGACTCTGTTCCCCTTTCGGGCTCTGTCTTTACATTTATTTTGAAAGATGAAGCTGGCGATTATGGTGAGGTCCGTTACATTTCCGACGAGTGCTTGCGGTGTTCGGCCAATCACAATGCACTGGGTCAGCTGGCCAATCAGAGCAGACTGAGCTTGTCGGAAGGAGGGGCTTTGTAGAAAACGAAGCGTTTGAGAGAGGCGGGGCATAGAGGACCTACAATAATGTACAGTATTTTAAAAATAATTTGTTTTTTGAACATTAAAGCATGTCAACATATTCTGTTACACCAAATACACAAAATAATGATCTTTAAAAAAGCATCATATGACCCCTTTAACAGAGCTGTTGTAGGGTAATTATTATTATCATTATTATTGTCTTACTTTTTTATTTTTTTACATAACGACAGTAAAATTACAATACTATCATTTATGAATAAATTAATACATGCAATTCATGCGTTCATTATATATAACATAATATAACAAAATATAACATTCTGCTATTTATTTACTAATCGTTTGAGGTAATTTCATGATTTCAATCATCATACAGTAACCTAACCACCAGCATTAGCCACCTCTTCTTCTCATCGGAGACTTGATGCAGCACTAAGTCTCTCGCTGTCGGTGCTTCACGCTTGTAATGATTTCTGCATCTTTCTCTGATAGTTTTAAAAACTTTCAAAAAAATTTGATCGCGTTCGCCATTGTTCGGTTCATATTATTCGGCCTTTTCGATTATTCGGCCGAACACCGAAAGAGATTTTCTTGCTATTTTCGGCCGAATAATTTCGGTTGCCGAATATTCGGTGCATCCCTAGTCACAGAGTCTCTCTTTCTCTCTCTAGCATATGTGTCCAGATGCGTTCTCAGGTAGCGAAATTTGGCACCGATTGGTTTAACTGAATCGGTACTTGTTGAGTTGTACACAATTCGGTCGGTACCCTTATAAGTACCGAGTTCGGTTCCCAACCCTAGTATTAACAGGAAACTCTAAAAATACACCAAAATATTGATCGGCTTGTTGATGTTTCATGTTTGGCCGGAGCTGATGGCTGTATTCAAAATGTAATACATTAGGGAAAGAGCATAGCGCTCTCCCTACCTCTACTATCATCTTGCTCGGGACTGCTATTAAATATTAGTGTGATCTTGTTGTATGTCTAATTCAGGTGGACAGTAGCCCTGTAACTCACCCCGGCTACTTAA